TAGTAGGATGCACCAATTAGATAGTAAATGGATTAATATAGTAATAAGCTAGGGTGTCAATTCGTGGTGTTGTTTGTGTGATGCTATTGTGTGTTGTGTTCGTGTCAATAATCACAAAAAGAAATTTATTTGATGTGTTATAAATGTCATAACATTAATCAAACACATTAGTTATACATATTTATCAATCCTGTCAATTCTAAAGTCTAAAGTCGTGTTGTGTCAGGTTCTTGGTAATGGATCAGAGTTAAATTAAAATCCATAACCTAAGTATCAATTAAACCTTTTGAAAGTCTAACTTCAAATTATTTTTGCCCTTTACTTTCAAAAATCCATGTGAAAGTTGTAACTACTAAATCCTTAGATTATCTTCCTGGCAATCAATTAAATCTCTACTGAAACAAAATTGGATAGGCGTTCTAACTTTTGATTTTAGAGAAGAAATCTTTTCATTGGACAGGATAAACATGCAATTTTCACAAATAATTGGTAAAATAATTTGTGACATTTTCAAGTTTTCTAAAATTATACACCAAATTATTTATAAGTGTAAAAGTAGCAACATAATTTCAACTATTTAAATTGAGAATTGAAGCTAAAATTAAATGCAAACTTACAAAGAAACACAATTTTGGGTGCCTTTTCTAATCCACTGTTGGCACACAAAGTAACAAATTCAACCGGTCTTGTAAACGTTGACTTTAGTCTTCTCAATTATAGTGCTTTGAGTAACACCAAAAAAGGATAGATCACCTGAATTTGTCAAAGATCCCTGGAAGAGAGGCAAAAGAAAGCTTTTACTATTCACAACAAAATGTCAAAAAAAATAAAAATTATTTGAAATCTTCTAACCAACAAATTTGCTTTTGGAAATCCCAAATGTGAATTTTAATTATATTTGGCTTGTCAAAATAGAGATGTGAACTTCAATTAACTATAAACAAGTAACTAAAAAGTAAATCAAATCTAGTGAACCAGAAAATGAGTGTATTCAGACCCAGAGTTCAAAGATACTTACTCGGATTTCGTAGACATGATGGTGTGGAAGTAGATGGTTTTATGTTGAAGTTTGTTACTTATAGAGTCTTCTTCGGTTTAGTGTTTTTGGCTTGTGATGGGTTTTTGACTGTCCACGCACTCTAAGGGACTTTTTGCCTACCCACATTCACTTCTAGAGTTCATTATTAGCTGAATTCAAATTAGTTACATTGGCAGTTAATGAATGATAGATAGAATTGGATTGGTATTAACTAATTAATTAAGGATAAAATTGGAAAACAAATGTTTTTCACTTTTGTTGGCATTTTATAGTAGTATAGATATAGATAGGCACATTTTTTTTGTGATCTCGATATTTAAGATGATGTATAATTAATCATATATCTGGAAATTATGTTTCTTTGAGCTGCCCGAACTTTCCCAGATTTTGCAGCAGAAAAAGATGTCTTATGATGGATGAATATGAGGTTAACTATGCTGTTATAAAACCTTCCGGAAAAAAAAACTATGCTGAACTGAAAGCATGAATATACAAATGAATCAGAGCATATGATGTGAAAGTTAAAGTTACAAGAACAAATGTGTGTGTCTCGTTTAGATATTATTTTTTGGGACAGCATTTATATAAAATAACTGTATGTGGACCTCAATTTTTTCTTGAAACATTTGTGCTCCATCAATGAGCTATATTGGATAAGACACTGTAATCGTCCTTTTTAGTAGTTTTTTTTTTTGTTCTCTCCTTTTTAGATTATCACTAATATGTCTGTTGAAGTAATATTGTTTAGCTGAATCAAAAATTGATGGTGGATAAATGTTGAAACATAAACCAATTGTTTTACTTGGAAATTTTCAGTTTGAATTTTAATATTTACTATTGTAATTTTTGAGAAATGTTCATGACTAATGAGTTTCCTATATCTGTATGTTCAGCTGAAAAAAAGAGATGTGTTGAAACACAGCAATCTGCAACTGCAAATGGTACCAGAGGTGACAGTACTGGAGGCCCAACCGTAAGTTTTGTGTATTTCTACGTTGTCATGTTGAGTTCTCTCCCTCCTCCCTCTCCACTTCTTCTCACAACAGACAAGCAAGGTACAATGGGGAATATCTATTGCTTGAGGGGGCCACTATTTTGTGAAAATAATGTTTGAGGCTTGGTTTAGATGAAATTGTCTTCTAATTCATAACTATTAGATGGGGTTTGGTATCTATAATTGACCTATAAATCTGTTGGACTGTGTATCCACCTTCATCCCTTCATGTGTATTCCTCGGCCTATTACTACTTGTAGTTACTGCCAGTCCTCTCCGTACTTGTGTTTCTTAAATAATATGAACATGGTTCCTCCGTATCTTTTGATCAATACAACTTGTGTGGAATTGTGGGTTGTGTCACATGTAGGTTCCCACTCGCCAAGGAAAGCCGAGCGCACAAGATGCTGCTGCGGAGCCAAACAATATACTCTTTATTCAGAATCTTCCATACGAGACGACGAGTCTGATGCTTGAAATGCTCTTCAATCAATATCCTGGTTTTAGGGAAGTTAGAATGATTGATGCTAAGCCAGGTATCGCCTTTGTAGAATATGAAGATGATACACAGTCCTCAATTGCAATGCAGGCCCTCCAAGGCTTCAAAATTACCCCTCAGAATCCCATGGCTATCACGTATGCCAAGAAGTAACCAGCCTCCTTTTCAAAGTGAGTGTTATGTTTCTTTTTTCGCCCTAGGTTTACTGAGGAATTGTAGCATTTCAAGAGTTTGATATACTGTATTATTCGTGTACACTTTTGGTAATGCTGATTGTGAAGATGCTCTGTTGTCTGATAGTGGAACTATTTCTGTGGGAGGATTGGAATGAACTTCATCTTAGAAAGTATGTGATACTACAAATCTGGATATTTCTTTTGTTTCTTGATGATCTTGGTATTTGCTTTCATTTCACATTACTACATGTACGGTATGAAGGGGGCAAGTTAAACTTTTTAATTTTTCTTGTGGGCAAAATGGTAATGGATAGGTTTTCATTTTGATTAGCCTCATTGGATGACAAATTTGAAAGGAATGGCAGTATAATTTTGGAAACTACGATGGGTATGTCTTGAATTTATCACAAATCACATAAGTTGTCATCATAGTTCACCCAAATTCCGATGTCATATGTGCAACCATTAATCCATATGGCAGAGGAGATTCATTTTGTGACTATTGTAGTGCAAATTAACCTAGCAATAGGTGGTTTTGTTTTTTTGTTTTTTTTTAAAAAATTTTTGGTAATCCAGTTATTTCATTTTGTCAAAATAGTATGTTATTTTGTTAACTCACTCACTAGACTAATGTTGAACCTTGTGTCAAATCACCTCTTCACATGAGAAATTAAATTTATAAACGGTGGCTCCAAAGGAGTAAATGTATTATGGGATATTTGAACTCGTCATTTAAGTTTTGTGGAATATTTGAACTATTGATTGAAAGTTGATAAAGTATTTATCAAGTACTCGAATTACCACTAAATTAATTCCTTGGACATTACTCAAAATATCATGAATGTTCTAAGACCAGTTTGTATATAAGTATGTCTTGAGTTCACTTATTTAGCAAATGAATCTAGTTTAAACCCGATTTTTAAAAAAATGTCTTTTTACCTTGTGACGTGTATATAGAAAGAGTAATGTTACATGAATTTAAAAATTAGACTTGATAATTATAATTATTGATTTTATTGTGAATTTTAATATTTATTGAAATTCACTACCTATTCAATGATCGAAATTATCAAATTTAATTAATATTACTCATATAAAAAAAAATAATATTACAAGAACTTAAAAATTAAATTTGGTAATTATACCGATATAACATTGATCGATGGCGCATAGCTTCCGAGGCAGAGAGCTTCAGCGCGTAAACATACACTCATTGCGAAAGAGAGTCTTCCAGTTGTCAATGTTTCACTGGAATGTACACCTCACAGCAGTTACAAGAGCGTGGGGTTTATACCTCAAAGATTTAGTTACTATAATAAGCAATTTTATATGCCGTACCTAAGGTGTGAGAGAGATTACTTTTACTCTATCTATGTATTCAACCGAAAAAGAAGGGCACGTGTACGTACACTATAAAAAGAGGTGTCACATCTCCTTCCTCAGATGCTCCCTGCCCCAAAATGAAACTTCCTCTGATAACCCCATCTCTTTTATTATTAGAAAGTGGATTTTGTATAATAAACACATCTTCTTTTTGGTTGCCGAACCTGCCCTCCCAACGACCATTGAAAATCACTAACCTATTGTCACCCATAGCAACTACGGTTTGTGTACAGAATATCCTTGTGACCCTAATAAATCTGCAATTATGTCCAAACTCATATGTTTTATATATGCCTATATATATAATGTGTTTACACACGTATGCGTCTGCGTAGAGTAAAATAATTTTATTTTTATAAAAAATATAAAGATATTATTGATTATGACACGTTATAGANATCACCCATAGCAACTACGGTTTGTGTATAGAGTATCCTTGTGACCCTAATAAATCTGCAATTATGTCCAAACTCATATGTTTTATATATGCCTATATATATAATGTGTTTACACACGTATGCATCTGCGTAGAGTAAAATAATTTTATTTTTATAAAAAATATAAAGATATTATTGATTATGACACGTTATAGACAATAAAATTTTTTTTCGGTGGATGCCACATATTCTTCTCTATCGGGCCTGTTTTTTTTTATTATAAANATCTGCGTAGAGTAAAATAATTTTATTTTTATAAAAAAAATAAAGATATTATTGATTATGACACGTTATAGACAATAAAAAATTTTTCGGTGGATGCCACATATTCTTCTCTATCGGGCCTGTTTTTTTTTATTATAAATAGATGTTGATGGGATATAGAATGTTAGTATTAAAAAAAAGAGTGTAATGACTATTTCATTGATTTAGTTAGCACTAATAGAAAGGAAAAACCTAAAGGATAACGACCATTATAATAGATTTAGGTCAATTAGAAAAAAAAAGTCCCTCAACTTAGGGTTATTTGCACATTATTCTCCTTAATTGTTATGGAATATTAATAAACTTATAATATGTAATAATTGTAGGGGTTAAGGTGCAAACGACCCTAAATTTAAGGGTTCTTTTCGTTTTTTTTTTTAGTGTAACCCAAATGATTTCCACAAAGATTAGTATTTAGTAGGACATGCCAGTGTAGGGTCAGTTCTGTAATTTGACTCTTCTTCTTCTTCCCTCAAATAGCCCACAACCAACTGAAACTTCCCCAGACGAGATGAGCCACTTTTTTCTGTTGAAAAACAGTTGAAACCCATACAACTTTCAGCCAATCTCTTTCAGATCTTCCTCCTCCGCCACCACACCCCCACCTCATACCTTATTCTCAACCCCTTACTTCCCTCCTATTTTCTCAGCTCCCTCACATCCCAGAAGAGATTTCACAGACTCTAGCATTCCAAACTAGATCTCATGAAATTCCACAAAGCCATGCAACACCAGCAACAAGGCATCACTCTCACAAACCCATTTGAAGCTCTCACCGATGAGATCGTATTCTCCATCATCGACAGCCTCGGGGACGATCCTCAGGGCAAAAAATCATTCTCTCTCGTATGCAAATCCTTCCACTCCATTGAATCGCGCCACCGCAAAACCCTCAAGCCTCTTCGCACCGATCTCCTCTCAAGAACACTGCAAAGATACCCTTTTATATCTCGCCTTGATCTCAGTTACTGTCCACGTATTGAGGACGATACGCTTTCTATTATGTCTACAACTTACAAATCTACATTGCTGTCGATTGATCTTTCACGTTCTAGATTTTTTACGAATGTGGGTTTGTCGAGTTTGGTCATGAACTGTTCGGCTTTGGTTGAGATTGATTTGTCTAATGGGACCGAGTTGACGGACTCGGCAGCGGCGGCGATTGCGGAGGCTAAGAACTTGGAGAGGTTGTGGTTGGCAAGGTGTAAATTGATATCAGACATTGGAGTTGGGTGTATAGCTGTGGGGTGTAAGAAATTGAAGCTGATTTGCTTAAAGTGGTGTTTGCGTATTAGTGATCTGGGCGTGGGTTTGATTGCTTTGAAATGTAAGGAGATTCGTAGTTTAGATCTTTCTTACTTGCCGGTAATTACTCTTCTCCCTTTTACTTTTTCAAAGATAGAAGCTGTTCTCTGTAATTTTGGTTTTTTTTTTCCTGTTTTATTTGCTTCGCACATCCGATAGAATCGACTCTATTTGCTTTATTGAACTAAATTGGAAATGGGCTTTTGGTTGTTTTGTTGCAGTAGTTTCTACAAAGTTTTTGTCAATGATTTCAATTCTATTAGAGTATGAATGACTCATATTTGTTGTGTGCATAATGGCAAGGAGGCAGATGTCGGAGCGGAGCCCGCGACGGCATCTGCCTTGCGGGATTTATATAAGGGGAACGCTGATTAGTTGGGGGTGCGGGGGCAACGCCCCGTGATACGGTACATGGGTATTTTTGTAAATACGTCTGTATTAGGGTTATATAAATATTTAAGACGTAACTCTACTTTGAATAATGAAAAAGAACGGCCGCTCGCTCTCGTGGATGTAGGCACATTACCGAACCACGTAAATTTCTGTGTGTTATTTTCTCCTGCTTTCTTAATTGTTTGATTCCTTACTACTCACCATAATTGCTGCACGATCGCAACAAATTCCCTTTTCACAAAATGGTCAATTAGATCTGATATTCTGAGGTTTTGACTATCCAATAAGGTAGACGATTCTATGAATTATGTGTGGGAAAAGTATCATTACATTGTTGATAGTTCTGTTTTGGTCAATTGATTCTTGACCATTAGTTTGTAAAAAGTTTGCCTTGATCAGAGTCAATCTTCCACAGAGGAACTCTAACAATTCGTTTTTGTCTTCTCCTTTGTTTCCCCAGTTATGACGATAGAACTGAATTTTTAACCATGTCTAAGTTCATGATTGATCATGCTGTTTGATGGTTTCTTGCTACTGTGAAATTAATTAACGACTGGTTAACTGGAATTCTTCATTCGTCCTTCCTGATGTACTGTAGATAACTGAAAAGTGTCTTCTAGCTATCCTGCAACTACAGCATCTCAAACAGCTGATTCTTGTGGGATGCTCTGGAATTGATGATGAGGGCCTTTCAACTCTGAAACAAGGTTGCAAGTCCCTAGAGGTACAAACTGAATTTTAACAAAAAATTGTTCTGAACCACCTCGTGGTTTGTTGTTACAACCTCAACCTGTTAAACAGTTAAAATCTGTTTCAGCCATGCTTTGCAGCTGATGGCTTTCTCACTTTTGAATTTTTCAGACACTTAATATGTCAAACTGTGAGAACATCAGTGATGGGGGTTTGTCTTCGATAACAAATGGCGCTGGACACCTTCGCGAGCTTATCCTCGCATATGGCCCTACTGTATGTCAAAAACTTATTATGGTGACTTCCATACTAACTTGGAACTTCTCCAAATAGCCCAATACTTTACATATCTAATGGTGTTTCAGGTCACTGCAAATCTGGCCAAATGTTTACACAATTTTTCGTCTTTGCAATCTATAAAATTAGACGGTTGCCTGGTTACATGTTCTGGGATGATAGCCATTACAAGTTTGTGGGCATCTTTGAAGGAGTTGAGCTTATGTAAGTGCTCAGGAGTGACAGATGAGGGTTTATGCTCCATTGTGAAAAGACACACTGAATTAAGGAAGTTAGACATCACATGCTGTCGCAAGATAACACTTTTTTCGATAGACAGTATAACATATTCATGCACCTCTCTTACTTCCCTGAAAATGGAGTCCTGTAGCCTCGTTTCAAAAGAGGGTTTTATTTTGATTGGACAGCGTTGCAAATTCTTAGAGGAACTGGACATCACAGACAATGAAATTGACGACAATGGTCTCATCCTGAACCTACAGCTATAGACACCCATATATCGTGAATTATTTATACAGGTTTTCCTGTGCAGGTTTGAAGTGGATCTCAAGATGCTCAAAACTTTCAATTTTAAAACTAGGAATATGCCAGAACATAACCGATGATGGACTCTCCCATGTTGGAATGGGTTGTCCAAAGCTAACAGAACTTGATCTATACAGGTTTGTGATATGTTAATTTTACCATTCTCTTTTGTATTTATCTCTCAATATGACCAACACCTATGTGAACAATGTCCTTTAGCTTTGTTTGATTCCACGAGCACTGTCTCCCCAAGGTTTTTGTTAGAAGTAAAAGCTAACTGAATTTCCTGCCGTAATTTGAAGCGCAAAGACTAGATTACCTCATTTCATGGTCTTTTCACATTTCTCATAACTACCCAAGTGCTCAACTTTTTAGTTGCACTTCTTTGAATACCAGAAATTTTACATTATTTGGGATGATGAGATTCTCCAAAACTTATTGATTTTGATCTATTTATTAATTTACTTTCTGGAAGTAGTTTTACAAATTAAAAAGGATTTTTCCATTTTTCATGCTAAAACAAGGATATCTTTTGGTAGGATCCTTTATTTCGGCTGATAAGAATGCTTTGATCAAACGAGGAACTAGTTATTATAAAGTGTAGTTTCAAGAATTCAATTCACTGAAATATCGTTTTGAAGTGCTTCCAAACTAATTTTCACCTTGAAACAAGCAAAAATGTGTAACCATATTTCTAACCACCTTTAAACCACACTGAAACACAGAAGCTAAGATTGGAGCGAAAAATGGAAAATAAGATCGAAAGGTAGGTGAAAAAATGATAGGTTGGTGGTACACTTGACATCATAACGTAGCATATATCAAATGAAAATTACATCCAAAGATTGACTCAAATAATAAACTTGTTGGATCTTCTGTGCATTTTGTCATTCCAAAGTAAGTTGTAAGAGGAAAACAGCCCAGGTTACTTCCAAAATTTGTTATTTCTTGGACATGTTTTCATCAAAATGCTCAATCAAGTGTGTTACAGCTGGAACAGATTTCCATTTTTGTACGAGCTGATTGAGATTTCTTTTCTTCAGGTGTACTGAGATAACAGATTTCGGCATTGCATCAATTGCTAATGGTTGCCCTGCATTGGAGAAAATCAACATGGCCTACTGTGATAAAGTGACTGATGCTTCGTTAATATCAATATCCAACTGTCTACGTTTGAAATCACTTGAAATTCGTGCATGTGCTTGTGTTTCTTCTGTGGGTCTATCAGCTATTGCTGTAGGATGCAGGCAACTCACCATCCTAGACGTAAAGAAGTGCCGTAATATCAATGATACTGGAATGCTTCCCCTTGCTCAATGTTCCCAAAATCTTGAACAGGTACATTCACCTCCATCTCTTGCCTTTTGGAGAACAAAGATGAATGCAAATTGATTATAATGTTCATTTGTTTCCTTGCAGATAAACTTATCGTATTGTTCAGTGACAAATATTGGGCTTTTGGCGCTAGCGAGCATCAACAGCCTGCAGAACATAACTATCTTGCATGTAACTGGTTTGACCACAAATGGACTTGCAGCTGCCCTGTTAGCATGTCGAGGGCTGAGAAAAGTGAAGCTTCATACTTTGTTTAAAGCATCACTTCCTCAGTCCCTCATTGATCACTTGGAAGCTCGTGGCTGTGTGTTTCAGTGGAGAAACAAAGCATTCCAGGTATTTATGTTTTTCCATGTCAACTGTCAGTGCCACATAACTGAAATGTATAATGATGTTGTTTCATTAGTTCAGAGTTCACTTTTTGATAACACTGAACTTGATTCTTTCTTCTGATAAAAAAAAAAAAAAAAGAAAACTTGATTCTTTCTTCAGAGTCCATATTAATTTGAACAAACTCAATCTTTCTAAAGCACTTGCAACCTCTAGAATGTTTTAAGACTTTCCGAATTCATGCCTTTGGTAGACTACAAGTGAAGGTATTCTGGTAGTGATGGCTCTGGATTACTCGAAGATACTGGTTTAAAAACAAATGTGTTTCTAATCTGTTTGATTCCTTTGAAGAAATGAGAAGACCAATGCAACTTGAATTTTAATAACAATTTTGACACTGAGTTGATGATTAACATTGCAAGTTTTTTCTTATCATTCTTTAACTTAAAGGCGAGCTGCAAGCAGAGAATTTGATAAAAGGTTCAGGTGCCAGGTCCTGGCCTTGATTAAAAAAAAAAAAAAGTACCTCATGTTCATCCTTAAGAAAAATTGGTATCTTCTTTTCAAAAGGTGCACGTTATGTGCTTGTCTAATTGATGTGTAGTCCCAAAAGGTTGTCTTCTAACAACCTGTTTGACTCCAAGCAAGACTATATTATACATAATGCTTAGAACACCTTCTAGTAATTGTAGGCAGTGTTTTACCCACATTAGAATCTTTTTCTTTTTTTTTAATTTCTGGTACAGAGTAATCTCACTGAATAAGCTTCAAATGGTTGAAACCCCTCAATTTATTATAGTGTACTGATTTGAGGAATGTTGGTTGTGGTTGACAGGTGGAAATAGACCCAAATGGATGGCAGCTACAATTGGGAAGAGAAATCCAATGAGCCATGCCCTGAAGCTCCATATATAGAGTGATCATCCATGTTGGTGTGTGTGTGAACATAAAAAATTCACAAAATTTGACCACTGTATTTATTGGGGCTAGTCAGTTATGGAGTTGGGTTTAGCTGCAGTCGTTTGGATTAATCAACTAACGCTGAATGAAAGTTGTGGGTCAACAGCCTCCTGAGCCCATGTTGTGTCACTGGTGCTCCAGAAGACCAAACAACTTGGGCAAGAGATCCGTACTATACACAGTTTTCTTTTTTGGTACCTTGACAGTAGGCAATCATTTCATACTGACAATTAATTCAGAAACAGGGGAGAGAGAGAGAGAGAGAGAGAGAGAGAGAGAGAGAGAGAAAACTGCCCCCAAGTTGTGTGTTAACATCTGTTGCCACGCATTTCTGTACTCCATTTTCATACTCTGTATTTTTTGTTGCAGAACCAGGACCCACACGGAGATATTTATTCACATGTTTGTGTCTTTTGGGTGGGGATGTAATTTTATCCGTGAACACGACATGAGCCTAACTCGGTATAAAATTTAAAAATAATATAGTTAATTGAAACGAATAATAAATGAGTTAAATTGAGGTTCGATATGAATAACAAGATTAATAGGTATTATGGATAAAAAAATAATTATTTAATAAATATTGCAAACACAAAATGAGAATTTTATAATTTTTTAAATAATATTATATGAGTTGTTTTTTAATTAAATAATTTTTTATTAATACAAATATTAACACAAATTCGACGTTAATTAAAAGTAATACGATTCAAAAATAATACGATCAAAAATGGCACGATATGAAAATGATATGACACGTTTAACACCTTACTTTGGGTTTGGTTGGAAAACGGAAGGCATGGTTTGAATGCAGTCAGACTACAGTAAACATAATAGTTATACCGAATCAATATTATTACTTGATTACGTGGTGTAATCATTTAATAATAACTCAAAAATTAAACAAAATGCAACTTAACTATTTCAAATAACAAACCTTTCATGTAAGACAATAATTGTTACATATCAAAAAAAAAAATTTAAGTTTACTTATTTATTTGTTTGTTTATTATTAACTAATTATATTATACGGCAATATTAACGGGAGTAAACATTACACAAGAGTGGGGTGATTCAGTGGGATATCTTAAAATTAAAAGTTCGAATTTTAAAGTTTACGTTAAAGTCCATGGTTGATTGTTATATTAGTGTATATAAATTCATTCTCAACAAAAATAATGGGTATAATTGAGAATCTCAACGTCCCACCGGGTGATCTCTTGCCGCTTCCCCTTACTTCAATATAAAAGAATAAAAAATAAAATTGAGGTACTACAGGAAGGAAATCGGGCTATGTTTGCTTTGTGATCCAGAAACAGTTTTTTGTTCTTAAAATCTCAAAAACACCTCAAACTTATTTGTTTAGTATTTTTATTCTTAACATTTTTTTAAAATAATGAGATTTGAGTCAAATAAACAAAAAACAAATGTAGCTTATTTTTAGAGTTTTTTTTAAAAATTTTAGAAATAAGGAGAATAATTTTGGATTTTAATGAAGTCTACCATTCGAGTCCACTTAACAACAAATTTCTTCATTCCTTTTTTTTTCTTCTTCCTCTCCCCCTCTCTCTCTCCAGACGTCTCCTTCTCCATGTCTCTCTCACTCTCTCTTCTTTAGATTTGAAGACACTGGAGCACCGAAACACAAATCTCAGATTTGAAGACGCCAGATCTTCAGATATGGGTATATATATACTGTGTGTATATATATCTATATATATTGTGTGTATATATATGGGTATATATATATTTTAAAGTTTGATTTTTTGAATTTTTTTTTATGAAATTGTCAATTTAAAAATAACTTTATTACATTTTTTTATTAATATTTGAATTACTGTTCAAACATATATTTAGGTTATTCAAACAAGTTTTATTATTTTCTATATTATAAAATTATTTTTGAAATCATCTAACCAAATAAATTTTTTATCTCAAAAAATATTAAAACTATTTTTTTAAAATTTTTCTCAAAAAATATTTTTTGAAACGTAATTCAACCTACACTTTTTTAATGTTTTTAAGACAAGTCTCCACGCAACATGGGGCCCATGAACGCGAGGTACCGCGTAAACGCCCCCTCTTAGCCGCCTTTCCCATTGCAAATTTTCGCAGCCATCGAGTCAAACGCACGAGCTTTGACCAAAATACTAATATTACTTTCTTTTACTATTTCATTTTTGGGGGAATTTCACTTTATGGCAAATCTCATTTTATTCCTGGAAAGGTACAAATTTTTTCACTTTGTACTGTAAAAAATTAATTATCTTATATTGCATCTTTAATTTAATATAAATATATTAGTTACAACGTGCACCTCTCGTCAATTTTTATTTCTATTTACGTTAACTCTTACCCACATGTGAGAAGTGTGTGTTCTCCAATAGACAAAATAATAAAACACCACATTAAGTCCCATCTTTTGCCTTAACAAACTAGAAGAGGAAGTCTTTGTTTATGTTGTTTGATCCAAGTTCACCACCATACACAGGTAGCTCAATTTGCAGAGATCGAATCTCCTTAAAATTGCTCAAAACTTTATTTGGGGAATAATAGAAATCCTAATAATTGCCTTTTGCACGGAGTGAATGTGACGAAGACTTAACTTTGATGATTTAAAGGAGTTGGAGTAGTTTTATAGCGACCTATTTGAAAGTACTATTGAAAAAAACCCCATTGGGTTTGATCTAGAATTATGATAATCATAGGGTTATTTGATATTTTGTTGTTGATGAGTATAAAATTTCTGTGAAAAATTGTGATGAAAATGATTTGGATTTTGGAGACAATGGAACCCTAATGCTTATAGAATAAAATGCATAAACAATAGAAATTTGTAACCTGTAATTTGTTGGAAATTGAAAGAATAATAACATCAGTTAATCGATCAAATTGATCTTGTTCTTGGTGGATAAGATTATAACCCATTTTCTTTCTTTTTGGTTGTTAAGTTATGGATTAATGAGTTCAAATAGCAAGAGGCTTTCAACTTTGTCTTTTGTGTTTTTTTTTTTCTTCTTTGTTCCTGCGTCTTTTCTATGAATCGGGGGCACAACTGAGACAGATTTAGGACAAGCAAACAGTGGGGTTTTGATGTGGTGTTTTACTATTTTGTCCAGAGAAAGTTCAACTACTTCTCACGTGCACATGAGAGTTGATGGAAATAAAAACCGAATTTGACGACCGGTGCAAAGCGAGACTTGCCCTTCACTTTGAACCTCAAAAAATTTAATATTTTTTAAAATTAAATTTTTTATATTAAAAATATTATAATATAATTTTTTTGTTGATTTTTATTATTTATTTTATCAAAAATTATTTTATTAACATCAACAAAATAAGTAAAAAACAAGGAGTTGTGTTGTAGTTTGACTCTTGTTCATTAAAAAAAAAATAATGAGTAAAGAAAATTAATAGAAAAGTCACGAATATATTTAAAATATAATATTAAGAGTATAAAATAATTTTTTTTGAAAATCTTTTAGAGTGAAATTCAACCTTCATTTTTCCATGGTCAAGCATTTCTTCAGTTTCTCGGAAGATACCTTCTTCCCAGCAAACATAACCAAACACAAGATACTAGATAGACACCGCGACCCTTCCTCAATACGTGCCCATCTTCACTTCTTCTTCCTTCGCTGTCTCTCAGCCCCTCAACCTCCCAACAGCACCACCATATAAAACTCTCTCTCACTCTCTGTACCCATCGCTCTGTTTCTCTAATGTCTGCTTCTTCTGGTAGCTTAGAGACCACTGTAAACTCACATCCACCGCGGCCATCACCATCGCCACCACAAACTTCGAGCTTTTCTTTCTCCAATTCATTCATGAACACCTCCTTCTCAGACCTCCTCGCCTCCGATGTCTACCCAACCACCACCACTACCAGAACCATCGTGGGTAGCCGCGGACTGTCTGATCGTATTGCTGAGAGAACGGGCTCAGGGGTGCCCAAATTCAAGTCGATTCCCCCTCCTTCACTACCCATCTCTCCACCTGCTATCTCTCCTTCATCATACTTTGCTATCCCTCCTGGGTTAAGCCCAGCTGAGCTTTTGGATTCTCCTGTCCTTCTCTCCTCTTCGAACGTAAGTATCTTAATAAACTTCCTTTTGATTTTTGTCTTATGCTTTGTTGTTAACTACGAAAACAGCGGAAACAAAAACAGAAAATTGAAAAAACAGCTTTTTTCACAGATAAAAACAGAGCAAGAACTGATTTTTTAGATTTGTGTTAGGTTTGTCTGAACATATTGTGGGCGTTTGACGTCCATGTGTATGTTTTTTTGCCCCAATAAGATGTTCTTTTATGCTTGATTGCCTTCTTGGATTTGGCATAACTAAAAAGTGTAACTAAGTTCAAGCTTTTATCATTGTTATCTTCTATTTTTGCAGATCTTACCTTCTCCTACTACCGGGACTTTTCCAGTTCATTCGTTCAATTGGAAAAGTAATACTAACAACCACCAACTGGGTGTCAAGCAGGAGCAGAAAAACTACTCAGATTTCTCATTCCAACCCCAAACAAGGCCCCCAAAATCATCCACATCGATGTTTGATTCACAAACCAATGGAATTCCAAAGGTTTGTGTTGAACTTAGATTAATTCAATTTCAAATTCCTTTTTCTGACATTTAATTTCGATGTTTGAACATTATTTGAACTCCTTTAAACCTGCAGGAGCAACAAGTTTGGGGTTATCAAGAACCCACCAAGCAAGATGGCATATCATCCGTGAAGACTATGGTGAAACCGGAGTTGTCGTCAATACAGAGCTTCTCCTCTGAGATTTCCGCTATTCAAACAAATACTCAGAGCAATGGCGGATTACAATCAGACTATGCTAATCACAACCAATCATCCCAGTCGATGAGTGAGCGAAGAAGATCAGAAGATGGGTATAATTGGAGGAAATATGGGCAGAAACAGGTGAAAGGGAGCGAAAATCCTCGAAGTTATTATAAGTGTACATACGCCAATTGCCCAACTAAGAAGAAAGTAGAGAAGTCTTTAGATGGTCAGATTACTGAGATTGTGTATAAGGGTAGTCATAATCATCCCAAGCCTCAGAACACCAGGAGATCATCAGCATCATTGGCTTCTTCTCAGGCAATTCAAGCTTTTAATCCTTCAACGAACGACATCCCAGATCAGTCATATGCCTCACAAGGTGCTGGACAAATGGATTCAGTTGCAACACCAGAGAATTCTTCTATATCCATTGTTGGGGATGATGATTTCGAACAGAGTTCCCAGAATTGTAAATCAGGGGGAGATGAGTTTGATGAAGATGAACCTGATGCCAAAAGATGGTAAGTTTGTTATGTAAATTTCAGATAAGAGTTATATAAAATGGATTTAGCTTTTATCATTGAGAATATTTTCTTTTCTGGGCTTGAATGAAGTTAGTTCTGAAGCATATGATTTATGTTCCAATTCTTTTTAATTTTTTTCCAGGAAAAGTGTAAATGAAACAGAAGGTATATCAGCACCAGGAAGTAGGACAGTGAGAGAACCTAGGGTGGTAGTTCAAACTACAAGTGACATTGATATCCTTGATGATGGATATAGATGGAGAAAGTATGGTCAGAAGGTGGTGAAGGGTAATCCTAATCCAAGGTAAAGCTCACCTTTTGCACTTATAGTCCCTATTTTTTCTTATTTGAAAAGTTATCCTTTCAAAATTCCATGCCATAGCAAATAGGCCCCCTGCCATGTTGTGGTGTTTCTTGTTTTGAAACAAGGTTTCCTTTATTTGGGAAACTTGAGTACAAGTGCTTTAAGCAAATTGCTTACTATATATTATGTTCATTACTTGTAGGAGCTACTATAAGTGCACGAGTCCAGGATGTCCAGTGAGAAAACATGTTGAGCGAGCATCTCAGGACCTAAGGTCAGTGATCACCACCTACGAAGGGAAGCACAACCATGATGTTCCGGCTGCTCGTGGTAGCGGTAGCAGTAGCCATTCTCTCAACCGGCCTTTGCCTAACAATCCTAACAACAATGGAGCCATGGCAATTAGGCCTTCGGCAATCCCTCATCATCCTAACAACAACATGACCAATCCGATTCGAAGTTTACGGGCATCACCACCGTTTGAAGGTCAAGAACCATTCACATTGGAGATGTTGCAGAGTCCTGGGAGTTTTGGGCGTGCTGCGGAATTCGGAAATTCCATGGGGTCTTACATGAATCAATCACAACTCAGTGATGATATGTTCTCTAGAGCCAAGGACGAACCTAGAGACGACATGTTCTTCGAGTCATTGCTATGCTGATTCGCTTCATTTTGCAAGTTTGGGCTTTTTAGACAAATTTTTTAAAGGTTTTTTAAAATACCATGAGGTCAGATTCATTTGTTTTTGTCATATGTTTCATTTGTTTTTGTCATATGTTTTGTTGTTCTTTCATGTATATTCCTACAGTAATTTGGTTTTGTATATTAAAAAAAAAATGGTAAAGTTATTGAGCTTGATTTTTCTATCCATTGTTTTGGGCCTTCTAAGCTTTATTGTGTGTTTTGAGTAACTCTGGGCTCGGGTGATGGTTCAATGATTGAATTTGGTATTTGATAACTCAAATAGAATCTAATTCAAGCGAGTGAAAGACATGGCAAGAGAGTGAGTTTGATTCGCGAATGATCAACAAGAGAAGGACCAATTCTTTTGCCCCGATATTGTTGCGAGATTGGTATTTAGTTGCCCATCACTTCTTAGCTCTTTCTTTAAACCCTTTTTTAAGATTCAATCTTTTTTCACCATTTAAGGATTAATCACTTTTATCTTTTTATTAGGGATATATTCTTATCTAGTTTAAGTCATGGTGGTCAACTTTTAAACTCGAATGAGTAGTTAGTACAAGTCTGCACTCTGTAACCAAAAATAAAAATAGGGGGCAATTTGGATGCAATGTAACCCACTTTTTATCAAAAACTATGGTTGATTCGTTAATTCAACAGTTAATTACAAATTTGTATAAAAAAAAAATTATAAGAGTGAATGAACTCATTTGAGAGAGTGCTTCTCAAGTTATGTTTTCATGTCCGTAGGGATATAATTTTTTTGGATAAATCTCTAGTAGGGTAACTATGAGAAGAATTGATTTAACCCAAAATAAATAAATAAACTATGAGAATGAAAAAAAAAGAAAAAGTTATAGTTAAATTTCATAATCATTGTCTTTTATAAATTATAATTTACACTTTAAAAACTAATAACTGAACATTAAAAAGTCAAAATATTTTGTACGGTATCACCGACTTTTTCATATTACTAAATTAGATTTTTGTCCAGAGTAATTAGTAGAGACATAAAAGAATTATAAATTTAAATATTTTAAATTTAAAATTTGTCAGCTCACATGGATTATGCCGCGAAAATCCTCTTTTATGAATTTTTTATTTATTAAATGAATGATAAAAAAATTTAATTGAGATGTGTGATACACTGACCTAAACAAACTGCCATAACCAAAAAAAAAATATAATTTTGAGAGCATTCTGAAATTGTGATACATTGGACATGCGTGCGTAACTAGTGACACACTGACGGATGTTTGACTGGTCAAACTTTTGTAGCTGAAGATTAGTATTACTTAGCGCACACGTTGGTCAAAGTCCAACTTGCAATTAGCTAACAGCTGGAGAAATTGTGTGAAGAGAAGAAGCTTCTTGCCACGTGGACAATTACGCGACACTCCTCCAGCGGTGGGCCCACCTGTATCTTCTAGAAGTCCACAGTATTATTTATCCGCTGTCCTACATTTCTATCCAGGGTATGGCCCGCCCAGTTGGATATCAATCAAGGGATATTCGTTATAATTAAAATTAAAAATCAAATTACCTTAATTAATTAAATTTTGAAAAATTTTAGTACTGTCATTTGGACAATGAATTAAATGAAAGACGTAGTACGACGAGACTTTTACGTGTGGAACACGACGCATTAAAAGAAATGGACCCGCCGCACAACCACCGACGGACCTAACAATGCCTATCTTTACATCCACTTAATGTTAGGCAAACACAATGAAAGACTACGGTAACCAACAGCAAATAATAATAAGTATCGTACAGCTAAGCTAAAATTTATAAATTTTTGGGTATAAAAATATTTTTCAAAAGTTGTAAATAACCCTAAAAAATTAGTTCCTAAATGCTGTAAATGACCCTCAAATTTTATAAAAAAAAATATTCATAAAACTTGTAAATAACAGTATGATACCGATTTTTTTTTTCTCTATAGACTTCTCCGTATGAAAACAAGAAAAATGTGTACCTTAATATGTGGAAAAAATAACATCATGATGTTTTATTTTTCACATATTGTGATGGAGCCATGGTAAAAAAAAATAAAAAAATTCGCTAGACCCATCATTAATTATTGATGGCTATTGAACCATCTATGCTGGTGGTAAAGTTAGAACCGCAGTGGTAGTTGTTGTCAAGTTTGCACACCCCCCTAAAAATTAGTCACATTTTTTTTTTAGGAGAATTGTCCTTGAACCAACTCGAATTATGGTGCTCGACTCGATGCTTAAAAGAAATAATCAACACAAACCTGAAAAAAAGTTGTGAGGAATTTTCTTTGAGAACCTCATTTTTAGTCATATTATGAGGAGTCCCATTTGGGTACTGAATAATATTTTTTTTGGTACTTCTTAACCAAAAGAATGTGTCACGTTACATTCTTTTTTATCATTTTATTATTTTTTCGATCAATTATTATAAAGATTAATTACAAAATGCCCTTTCTACGTTTGCGTCAAGTTGAAATCAGCTTTTCATGGTTTCAATTTAAATAATTTGGCCCCTCCATGAGTTTAACAGGATGACAGAGTTGATCCATATCATGTGTATTGGGTTTTGGGCCTTGGTCCCAATATATATCAGCTGAACTGGACACCAACTCTCCAGCTAGCCCATATCCAAATTGACGCTTTACCCTTTAATTCAAGTGAACCCCCAATAGCAGCCCCACCCCAGGGCCAGGGCCCAGATCAATTACATTTTGTATTCCAATTTTACCCTCTACCATTTCTTCAATTTTCGAAATCCCTGAGTCTGTGTACTATTCTCTCCTCGAACCTTCTAATTCGCGCCAACAACATTTGTGCTTGAAGCTTTAATTTTATTTTATTTTCCCGAATTTTCATCCAATCAAATCAAATCAAATCAAATCATGGAGATTACAACGTCGAAACCGAACCTCTTGAACAACGTTATGGTCCGAGTCCTCTCATTCTTGGTTCTCGTCTTCCTCGCTCGAATCGCATACATAATCACCGTCAGAGGCAAATCTTGCGTCTCCGGCGATTTCTGCTTCTTCCCCGAAACCCTCATATTCGCCACTGGAGATTACNTATGGTCCGAGTCCTCTCATTCTTGGTTCTCGTCTTCCTCGCTCGAATCGCATACATAATCACCGTCAGAGGCAAATCTTGCGTCTCCGGCGATTTCTGCTTCTTCCCCGAAACCCTCATATTCGCCACTGGAGATTACTCACAATCCGACACCTCTGGCGACGCCGAAAATACTCGTCTCAGGAACTACTACTACGCTGTGTTTGAAGATTTGATTGCCGAGGGCTATCTCTCGCCTGACTCCAAATGTATCTGTATCGATACCCTAAGCGGCCAAGACGTCGTGGCTCTGAGAGACATCGGAGTCACTGAGTCCATCGGAATTTCGAAGAAATCATCTCCGCCGTTGGTGCTGTACGGTCAGTCGTTTCGACAGCCATTCGATGAGAATAGCTTCGATTTCGAGTTCTCAGGCGATGGTGTTTTGGACCNCGTTTCGACAGCCATTCGATGAGAATAGCTTCGATTTCGAGTTCTCAGGCGATGGTGTTTTGGACCGGTCCTCTAAGCCGGTTGATTTCGCATCCGAAGTCTCAAGGACCCTCCGACCAGGAGGTTTCTTCGTCGTCCACACCACAGCAAAAGATCTCTATAGTCTCAATTCTTTGCTTGATTTGTTCAATACTTATAGATTGATTAGGTCACGTGATATCGAGGGTCTTGATTCTTCAATGCCATGGATTCGTGAAATTGTTCTACGAAAAAAGAATGAAGTTCTTCGCCTTGATGAGATGAACCAATCTTTAAATGTCAATCCCTTGAACAGATGCTCTGTTCCAGTGTATAAACGGGAATTAATTCAAATTGCAGAGCCACTTATCAAAGAAGAGCCATTGAAGCCTTGGATTACATTGAAGAGGAACATAAAGAACATTCAATATCTTTCTTCAATGGCTGACATACGTTTTAAGAACAGGTATATATATGTCGATGTTGGAGCTAGAAGTTATGGTTCAAGCATTGGAAGTTGGNCAAGAACATTCAATATCTTTCTTCAATGGCTGACATACGTTTTAAGAATAGGTATATATATGTCGATGTTGGAGCTAGAAGTTATGGTTCAAGCATTGGAAGTTGGTTCAAGAAACTATATCCAAAACAGAACAAAAGCTTTGAAATTTTTGCAATTGAGGCTGACAAGGCGTTCCATCAAGAATATAGATCAAAAAAATGGGTTACCCTTTTGCCTTACGCTGCTTGGGTGAGGAATGAGACTTTGTTCTTTGAAATTAATAGGGAACCAAGCAGGAGGAATGAGGAGAAAGGTCTAGGGATGGGTAGGATTCAAGCTGTGCAATCGTCGAGTAATTTTGTGGGTGATTTGGATAAGATTCAGGGATTTGATTTTGCGAATTGGTTGAAAAGTGCAGTGTCAAATAGGGATTATGTGGTTGTGAAGATGGATGTGGAAGGGACCGAATTTCAATTAATTCCACGGTTAGTTGAGACTGGAGCTATGTGTTTGATTGATGAAATGTTTCTCGAATGCCATTACAATAGGTGGCAGAGATGTTGCCCCGGGGAGAGGAGTCCGAAGTATCACAAGATGTACGCTGAATGCTTGGAATTGTTTGCTTCTCTCAGAGAGAGTGGAGTTCTTGTGCATCAGTGGTGGTGAGTACTGAGTAGTAATAGTCAACTCATTTTTTGATATTCTTTCGTTGTGTCATATAGATGTTTCTTGATACAGCAAAGATATTGTAAATTTTTGTTAGTATTCCTTGCAAATCCAATGAAAATCACATGTTTTTCAATGTATCCTGTAATGTGTATCCTAATATGCTTAAATGATCTATATAATTAAATCATATGCTCTCCATTTACTATTTAGTGATTGTATTAACTAATACAGAAAGATAAAACTAAAGAAGAGACTGCATATTTGAGTGACTTCAAGCTTAAGAAGATTGTGTTTATTGTGTTAATGTGTAATCATTAGTTATTCAGAAGAAGGCATCTGGAACCAGAAGCTAATACAGTTGTGGGGGTTAAACAGCTGATTGACTAACATCAAGGGATGACACTGAGTCACTTTCATATCAATGACGGTTCTAGGCAGGTGGTTCGAAGTATTTTTTTTTCTTAAGATGGTATCATCATTTAATCCCCTTGTTCTTGCATGATGATCACATTTGGCACCTAACTGTAAGCTCTAGTTAATTGGTTTGAGAAATGCAAACAAGTGCCATCACTCTATAAAAGGTTCAAAGGGCACTATTTTTTCTAGTAATTTGGTTTTACTGTGCTGATCAAGGGCTGAGCCATGATTTTTCTTTAAGGGTGACATCCAAATACCATCCGCAACTAATAGTATTAAACAGAACGAACTTATGAATGCTATATGCACTATTTTATACAAGATGACAATAAACATTCAATTATCAAAAGCTTGAAAAAATATAATCTTGTTTAATGAATCCGGGTTCTATTTTCTTACCTTTACAATAGTGGAAGAAGCAAAAAATGCCTCCCAAATAGTAGAAACCTTTGGTATATAAGTATTTTTTTTCCTCCGTCTTACTTTTCTTCCTTGTTCTTTGGTGGTCTGGATATGGAGGTTTTGATTGTTCACTTATGATTTGGATAGTTCATTTTTGGGCTCCATCTTTTGATAGATATATAGGAAAAAGGAAGTTCCGAAGTTGGATAGCTTCAAACAACTAAAAAAGAAACCAGAACTCAAAAAGACTTAACTGAAAAAAACGACTTTGTGCCACATTATGTTTTGCAGACTATTCACAAAATTTGCCATTACATTGATCCCCAAACAAGTTGACTAAAAGGTTTTAAAAATGAACACCTGATAACCCATGTGCACGAATGTTGAGTGCTTTCATTTGCAGTATGGTTGCTTTCTTCCCTTTCACTTAGGTTGTTATCGATGTTATTTCTATGCAATGGTCTAAATACGCTGGCACTGCTGCTGTCCAAATCAACTGCACTGCACTGTTCTGGCTCCTGGTGGAGCTGTTTCTTCAGATCGCTTTTGGTCCGCGAATCATATGGGTTAGGCCGTTGATTACTTCTCTGCTGCTGGTTCAACATGTGGCTGCTGAAGGCTATGTCTCACCTAATTTGAAAGAGTGATGCATCGAAACCCCAAGTGCCAGGATGTTGTTGCTTTGAAGGAGATTGGTGTTGCTGATTTGATAAACTTTGTAAGATATCTTCCTTACCATTTGTTTCCAGGATAGGTTGTTAGATATCTATGTTGATGTTGGTTCCATGCTTTGATAATTGGAAGCCGATTTATTAAGCAATGTTTGTTTCTGAATTCTCTACAAAGAAGAGCCTCTGTTTGGTCACACTCTGTGTGGTGGTGTGTTTAGTTATGCAGGAGGAGACGAGATCAAACATGTCACTGTGTACCATTGGTTTAGGCGGCCCCGGGCTCATGCTAGGCCCGGGGCTCAAGCCATGCTCCTAATCTTAATTTGTATNGAAGAGCCTCTGTTTGGTCACACTCTGTGTGGTGGTGTGTTTAGTTATGCAGGAGGAGACGAGATCAAACATATCACTGTATACCATTGGTTTAGGCAGCCCCGGGCTCATGCTAGGCCCGGGGCTCAAGCCATGCTCCTAATCTTAATTTGTATTATGCACGCACAATCAGTTTAAATGCAATCTGTTGTTTCTACACTTTAGTCAAAAATTTGAGACGATCTAGAGTTACTTTTTAGAGTTGAGAGGTGTGATATATAATTCTCCGCAAGTTTAAGGGGTTGGTGTGCAATTAGATTCTTTTATTTGAGGGGAAATCACACTTTGTACCCTGAAATATTTAAGAATTTTTATTTTGTACATTTAAAGTTTAAATTTCTCATATTATACTTACAATGTATTAAAATATTGTGGTACGGCTCTGTAGTTAGTTTCTGTGCCTATTTCATCAACTTTAATGGGATAATTTTTGATGGAATAAATAAGAAAGTTAACGACGTTGCAACATAAAAATCCAATCTTTAATTTACCCCTTTATTTAAATAGACTAATAATTATAATTGAANATACCCTAAAATATTTAAGAATTTTTATTTTATACATTTAAAGTTTAAATTTCTCATATTATACTTATAATGTATTAAAATATTGTGGTACGGCTCTGTAGTTAGTTTTCTGTGCCTATTTCATCAACTTTAATGGGATATTTTTTGATGAAATAAATAACGAAAATTAACGACGTTGCAACACAAAAATCCAATCTTTAATTTACCCCTTTATTTAAATAGACTAATAATTATAATTGAAGGAGTCAGAATTTTGAGATTTGGTCCACTCTTTGTTCGAGTTATTACTAGTGTTAATAAATTTTTTGTTTAGATTTTTTTTTTTTATGAAATTTTTAAAAAATAAAAAATATGGCCTGAAAATAGTCTATTTGACAGCACAATAATCATAATACCCATTTGGCAAAACTCTATGGTATGGTAAATTTTTTTTTGGTATTAGTACCATTAATTATTATTTTTTATAGTAAAATTATAATTTTGAAAAAAAGAAATTATAACTGTTCAAGAAAATATCATAATCGATCACAGAAATTTATGATTAATCATAAATTCTAGTTATCGATCTCAATTTTTTATGATCGATCATATCATTTAAAATTATAATTTATACTTTAAAAAAATTATAATTTAATTTTAAAAGAAATATAATTTTTGTTACAATAGCGCCGTTTGTGCCGTAGCCATTCGTAAACCCAACCCTGTAGAGCCAAATGTTCCCCCTCACGCTGGTTNCTTTTTTTTTATGAAATTTTTAAAAAATAAAAAATATTGCCAGAAAATAGTCTATTTGACAGCACAATAATCATAATGCCCATTTGGCAAAACTCTATGGTATCGAATTTTTTTTTTTGGTATTAGTACCATTAATTATCATTTTTTTTAGTAAAATTATAACTGTTCAAGGAAATATCATGATCGATCACAGACATTTATGATTGATCATAAATTCTAGTTATCGATCTCAATTTTTTATGATTGATCATATTATTTAAAATTATAATTTATACTTTAAAAAAAATTATAATTTAATTTTAAAAGAAATATAATTTTTGTTACAATAGCGCCGTTTGTACCGTAGCCATTCGTAAACCCAACCCTGTAGAGCCAAATGTTCCCCCTCACGCTGGTTGGTCAAAAGGCAACCGTTTTAACGCTTATTGAGTTAGTTGTCACTCCCTCTCTCTCTCCGTGATATTNTCTCTCTCTCTCTCTCTCTCTCTCTCTCTCCGTGATATTGATTATCTGGTTCCAATGCAAGTGCTCGTCCATCCATTTCTGAATCCGTTTAATGGGGTCGAGTTCAACCTGTACGTTTCTCTCTCCCCTTCTTCTACGCACCCTAACAGACAAGTCTCATGGTAGAACAGGAGGAGGACAGGCCACCTCCACCACCACCACCATATAGGTTTAGCCATAGCCATGGGCTTCCACATGAAGGTCCCTTACGTGTGCTATTATCTGAACCAGATCAATTCAAGGGGTGTGTGGTTCCGCGACGATCCTCTTGCTTACTCGGTTCCTTCTTTGTTATTGCAGCTGTCTCTCATCTCCATTATCACCCGTTCTATTCACCTCCTTCTCAAGCCTTTTGGCCAACCATTGATTGTTTCGCAGATTCTCGTAAGCTCCTTTTTTCATGCTCAAATCCATTTCTTTCCATACATGAGAAAATTGGTAAGAAATTCCAACTTCAATTATTGTAGGGAGGGACTGTCCGGGATACTTTCTATGCGCGTTTGACTCTCATTTTTGCTAGGGTAGACCCATGATATTTCACTGGGACTAAATAACAAACACGTAATGGGCCAAAAACAAAAATCACTGGGATTAAGCGAGTCTTGTGTTATATGTATACTGTATAGACATGCCCGATCCTTTCAAGTTTCTGTGTATGCAGAACCCCCGCCCCCCACCCAAAAGCATCCCCCTCTTTGTAGAAGCATCCTGGGTAACTAATGAAATATTGATATAGGTTAGTTGAAAGCATTCTGTTACTAAGCTGCATTAGCTACTTTATACTGATGATTGGATTCATCTGTGAATCAACCAATAAAAAGTGTCACCTTGCTGTCTCTGTCTAGAAACTCTGCCCATTATATTGGTGTTTTTGAAACAGCTGGAATGGCTTTTGATGGACTGGTATTAAGCATATTATAAAAGTTTAATTATGTCTTTTCATGGCAAAACACCATCCCAGAAACAAATCAGCTTTACCCATTGCCCACTTAAACCCATGTGATCAGCAAAAATGAAGTTGCCCAACAAAATCCCCATCCTGCCTGAAAGTCTTGCCTGTGTTATAATCAATAAAACCCTTTGGAATCAATCTGGTGCTTATCTTCATTTATCCTTGTTAGGTATTATTGGCCTTGTATTTTTAGGCTCTTTTAATGGTTGTCCATGTCATTGCCCCATGTTGATAGCCCTCAAGAAGCTATACAGTTTGCTCTATTAGTTTGGGTCAGTGCTATCCTTTTGTCCACAAAATTTTCTGTTTAATAAAGGAACACTTCTCTTGATTTGAACATACAAGAACTTGATACTAGGGGTTGAAAATACTCTGCTAATCTTATGTTATTGATGATTTATGTTGCCAGGGTGGTGTTATCCTTGGTCCTTCAATTCTTGGGCAGAATTCGACGTTCTTGGTTAAAGTATTCCCAAATAAAGGCAGAGTGCTACTGGAAACGATATCAGTTTTTGGTTTCATGCTCTTTATCTTCCTAATTGGTGTAAAATTGGACCCAAGCATGGTTTTCAGATCAGGAAAAAAGGCTTTAGCTATAGGAGTTTTAGGTTTTTTTGTTCCTTATGGACTTACCGGCTTTACTGCCTTTCTCCTCAACCATTTCCTGTCTTTGGATAATAACATTCTGAAGGTGCTTCCATATATTGTACCAATGCAGTCTATGACAGCTTTCCCTGTTGTTGCCTGCTTTCTTGACGAGCTCAATATCCTCAATTCGGAAATTGGACGATTAGCCTCTTCTTCTTCATTTATCTGTGATGTGTGCCACTGGTCCATCATGACAGTGAAGTTTGCTGCAGAGCTAGCCAAGGCAAAATCATTAAAAATCACTGTAGGGTCCTTTCTATCCGGTGTCTTATTTATTATTGCCATTGTATTTGGAATCCGTCCAGCAGCTTTGTGGGCAATCAGAAATACCCCAGAAGGGAGACCTGTGAAGGAGATTTATGTCTTTGTTGCCCTTGTTGCCCTAATGGCCTGCGGGTTCATAGGTGAAGCTATTGGACTTGGTGCACTTATTGCAGCTCTAGCTCTCGGGTTGGTGATACCTGATGGTCCACCTTTTGGAGCTGCTTTAGTCGAGAGGCTTGATTGCTTTGTTTCTGTGCTGCTCATGCCACTCTTTTTCACTATGTGTGGATTACAATTGGATGTCTTTTCCATACAAAAGTTGAAAAATGTAGGTGTACTGCAGTTGATTGTTTTAGTTGCTTTCATTGGGAAGATTATGGGGACAATGTTGCCTCCTCTCTTCTGCAGGATGCCATTCCGAGATGCCTTGTCTCTTGCTCTCATCATGAACTCCAAAGGCATCGTAGAACTTGCCATCTTGAACGATTTTAGGCAGTCCGAAGTAAGCCTCTGCCTATTTTTTTTCACATCCTCACATATGCTACCATTCCACTATCCTGGATTATAGATTTTATTGTGGTTTTAGATCGCTAGTAAAGAAAACATGGCAAAAAGCCTTTTGAATATGTCTCCGTGTGAACTAGTCAAAGAATATATAGAATTGCACATAACTAGAAGTTAGAACTACAAGTCCTTGTGGTTTGCTCTAATGAGTACAATTNAAAAAGCCTTTTGAATATGTCTCCGTGTGAACTAGTCAAAGAATATATAGAATTACACATAACTAGAAGTTAGAACTACAAGTCCTTGTGGTTTGCTCTAATGAGTACAATTAATGGATTGGATTTGATTAATGCAGGACATGACCGAAGAATGCTATGCAATTTTGATAATCTCAATGGTCGTTGTAACAGGAGTGATCTCGCCTCTTGTGAAAGTCCTGTATGACCCTTCGAAGAGATATGTTGCTTACAAGAGGAGGACTATCCTACACATCAGGCACAATGATGAACTCCGCATACTCGCCTGTGTACACAGCCAAGACAATGCTCAATCAATCATTAGCCTCCTCCAGGTCTCCAATCCCTCAAAAGAGAGCCCCGTCAACTTAGTTGTCCTCCACCTTGTAAAGCTCATGGGCCGTGCCTCCTCCTTGCTTGTTGCTCACATGCAACGAGAGAAGCCTTCCATAAACCCTGGCCAGTCAGAGCGAATCTTCAATGCATTCAGAAAGATTGAACAACAAAAACCTGGCCTTATCACGGTGCATTGCTATAAAGGCATTTCGCCTTATGCAATGATGCACAACGATGTGTGCTCTCTTGCTTTGGAGAAGAGAACAATTCTAATTATCGTCCCTTTTGACAAACATTGGACCTATGGGGAACAAGCAGAAACATCGTATGCATTTAGGCACCTCAACAAAAATGTACTCCAGAAAGCTCCTTGCTCAGTGGGAATCCTCATTGATCGTGGAAACCAGAAGAAATCCCGATATGTGATTACAGAACCTTCATTATATCGAGTGGGGGTTCTCTTCTTTGGTGGTGCTGATGATCGAGAAGCACTGGCATACGCAAAACGCATGTCGGAGCATCCCAATGTAATCGTCACTCTAATACGATTCACTGCTTCTGATTCATCAGCTGAGATTGTGGGGGGTACAGCACGGGGCAAGATGCTTGATGCTAACGTTTTGAGCGAGTTCAAGATCAACACACAGCGCAGTGAGAGAGTTTTATACCAAGAGGAGGTGGTGGCTAATGGAATGGGAGTGGTTGCTGTGACCAGATCAATGGGGAATGGTTATGATCTTGTTATGGTTGGAAGACGGCATGGAGAGTCACAGATTATGTGTCAGCTCACCAGGTGGAACGAGCGCGGAGAGTTAGGGGCCGTAGGGCAAATACTTGCTGCCTCCGATTTCAAAGGAGGTGCTGCCGTTTTGGTGGTGCAACAGCAGACTAGACTATGGGGATTGCATGACCCAGAGGAATCTACACACTTGAGAAGAATTAGTTTGTAGGTTAAGGTTAGAGTTATAAAATGTTTACAACAGTGTAAAGTGTGCTATCTGCAGACCATAACAATTCCAATTTTGTTGTCTGCATACTCTCTCTCTCTCTCTCTCTCACACACACACAGTTTTTGTCTTGAGTATCAAAAACACAAACAGGGAGGGCAATATATTTCTGATATAATGAGAGAGGAGTGTAGAAAAGGTGATTCTCACCCAGCATCCCATGGAATTAACCAGTTTAGTTGCTGACTGACATACGGGAAATTGGCTTTGAAAGGCAACCCCACTAAAACTATGGATCGACATGTAAATAACTCAAGGTAGATTCTGGCATGTCCCGAACGACTCAGTCGAGTTATCCCACACCTATCAATAACCTGAAGCATATTGTCCAATTTCGTGACGCTTCTATAGCACCAGAATCTGTCATCATGTACTCCTATCTCTCATTTATTGCAAATCACCAGATACTAATCCGCGGCGCAATGATTGAATTGATGCATTTCAGAGCCTCCAAGTAGAAAGCCTATACCACAACCGTAAGCCATAGCGTTTAGACCACATTATACATCTGAACAACGTTGTTTACACAGACCAAAACATAAGATATAACGCTATTCTCTTCACTAAATGGGTTTCCCTTTGCTACACTTTTCAGAATAACAACTTTCGGAACATCTTTCGTTTCCCTAAGTGCCACGGATAACTGAAAGACAAGATTCTTTAACAACAGATTCCTCCTACAACAAACTCAGGCCGACGACCATTTTAAAAATGTCCCCTAAAGACCATTGTATTACAGTGATTTTGCTATGCTGATAGGATGATTAACCCACTTTGCTAATTTTTTGTGCTTGCTATTAAAAAAGTAGATAAGAGGAGGATTTATCATTTACATTTTCCTCTATATACTCTCTGTTTAAAAAATTGGCCGGGCCAGGTGCCATGGCCCATCGTTATAGCCCAGCCCGACCAACACACACAGCTAAATGCTAGCAACCTGCCAGATAGAAGGCTATCCTTCTTGCATGGCCAACTTCAACTTTTAACCTTTCCCAACAGTAGTTTACGGTTAGTATGTGGACGTAGTATAGTCATATAGACCAACTAACTCCCCGTTATTTCGCCTGTCCTTACCTCTGTCTCTCTCTCTCTCTCTCTCTCTCTTACACAAACACACGTACAGAATACACGTCAGTTTTTCATCATACACTCGCTCACATTCCCTTTCTTTTTCTCCACCATCTCCTGTCTCTGTCACTGGTTGCATGGAAATCTGGGCCTTACCCTCACCTTTTTTTTTCGGAACAGTAAGCACTTACCTCTCATTTGCTCAAGTTTCTTCCGATTTCTCAATTTCAGTACACAATAGCCATGGCAACCAGAGTGACAGTATCATCTTCGGTCGGCCGGGTCCCTGGACGATATCGTGAAGAGTGGATGGTGTGCCAATATACCCACATGACCAACTCCATGGGATGTTCATGGACTGGATGTGATCTTTTTGCCTACACTATGCCAGTATTAATGGCCCAGCTCGTTCTTATTGTCCTCGTCACAAGAGCCACTTATTTCTTCCTGAAACCTCTAAAACAAAGTATGATCAGTGCACAACTCATTGTAAGCTCCTTCTCTAGAGACATATACACACACACACACACACAGAGATATATAGAAGCACATATACAAACATGTTTCATGTTTATCTATCAACATTTATTTGTTTGATTAAGGNCACACACACACACACACAGATATATAGGCGCACATATACAAACATGTTTCATGTTTATCTATCAACATTTATTTGTTTGATTAAGGGAAATTTTTTTGAAACAGGCCGGGATCATAATAGGGTCATCTTTTCTAGCACGTAACAGAATGTATGCTGAAAAGTTATTTCCTCCAGGAGGAAGATTGATAATAGAAACAGTTGCAAATATTGGCTTCATGTTACATCTCTTTATACTAGGAGTACAGATTGATGCAACCATTGTGAAGAAGGCAGGAAGAAATGCTGTGCTAATAGGTACCATAGGTTTTGTCATACCATACGCACTTGGTGGGTTGGCCGTTTTAACCGTGCCTCATCTCGTGATCATAGATGATACATTACAGAAATCGCTTCCTTTCATTGTAACGTTGAATTCAATGTCTACCTTTCCTGTTATCACCAGCCTCCTTGCTGATCTCAAAATTCTCAATTCAGACCTTGGCCGTTTAGCCAGTAACACATCCATTGTCAGTGACTTCTGCAGCTATTTCATGACCACGATCATGGGTACCATTGGTGTATCCATACGTTACTCGGAATGGGACCAGCTATGGGCTGTTGTATGGATTGTTGCCTTTCTGATCCTTATTGTGTTTGCCTTTCGGCCATTGATATTACAGATAGTCAAGCAGATACCTGGAGGGCAGCCGATGAAGGAGATCCACTTCTTGGCCATCGTTGTAATAATCATGGTGTGCGGGTTCTGCGCCGAGAATCTTGGTCAGCCAGCTCCTCTGGGCGCTTTCATTCTGGGTATGGCAGTACCAGATGGGCCTCCATTAGGGACATCGTTAGTAGATAAGCTTGATGCATTGAATACTGGATTGCTGCTTCCAGCCAAGTTTGCAATCAGTGGTTTGAGCCTGAACCTATTTTCTATAGAAAGAGGAAGTTCTGCAATGATCACTCTGGTCGTCATCATATTGGGCTACATAGGAAAGTTCGCAGGCACATTTATTCCAGCACTTTACTATAATTTGCCTTTCTGGGATGCTGTAAGTTTTGGTTTGGTCATGTGTTGCAAAGGCATCGTCGAGGCTGCTGTATATATCCAGATGATGGATAACGGGGTAAAACCATCTCTCTCTCTCTCTCTCTCTCTCTCTCTCTCATGAGCATGTTTAGATGTCACCAAGCAATGCAATTCCTACCTTTGCAGAGTTCTTGTTTTTCCTTTTTGCAGAGCACCTTCGAGTTACAACTATTACCAAAAAAAGGAATAAGTAACTTATAAATGGAATAGCAAATCTTACATGATTGGCATGTGCTAACAAGGGAGTGGGAAAAAGAAAAGATAAGTCCCAGACTACTATTTCTGTAAAGAAATTGCGCATAAAGATTTTTATCAGGCCGANGATGGAATAGCAAATCTTACATGATTGGCATGTGCTAACAAGGGAGTGGGAAAAAGAAAAGATAGTCCCAGACTACTATTTCTGTAAAGAAATTGCGCATAAAGATTTTTATCAGGCCGAATAGCATAACTATAGTTATAGAACTACAATTTTATGGACAAGAGTTTAATCCAGAAATGGCATGTACCAGATAAGTTCAACAATTCATCACAAATTATGATTAACATTCTTCAAATGTCTAGAAATGTCAAAATAAGATGTTAATTGCCTGGTAGAATGAAGCTATATGCATGCCAGGTAGACATATGAGAAAACTTTGAAATGAAATATAGTTGTACAATCCATCATACTTACCTAGTAAACAATAAAATGATTTGAGGAAAAGATAAAGCATATCATCTTCACATTAAATCCATTTTTATGGTTGTCTTATTTACCTGTTTATGTGGTGATGCACAGATAATAAGCCACGAATCATATGCCCTTCTGTTGATCACAATGCTGATTGTAACAGGGGTCGCTAGGCCTCTTATATGCCACCTCTATGACCCATCAAAAAGATACTCGGCCTACCAGAGAAACAGTATTCTGCACTCCCATCCCAGTAGTGACCTCCGGATGTTGGTATGCATCCACAATGAAGACAATGTCCCCACCATTTTAAACCTCCTCGAAGCCTCAAATCCTGCAAGAAACAGGCCTATTTCAGTCTTTGTCCTAAATCTCATGGAGCTTGCCGGCAGGGCAGCAGCCACACTTGTTCCAAATATCCGTAGAGGGAAACTCACTTCTGTGCCAAGCCGCTCAGGACGTATAGTTAACGCTTTCGATTTTTTCATGCAGCACAATCAAGGGTTTGTTAAGGTCCAGCACTACATTGCAATTGCACCATACAAAAGCATGCATGATGATATATGCACAGTTGCACTAGACAGAGGGGCAAACATTGTGATTGTCCCTTTTCATAAGCAGTGGACTATTGATGGAACAGTGGGAGTTAACTTTCCTTCCATCAGGACTGTAAACCAAAATGTCATTCAGAAAGCACCATGCTCTGTTGGAATCCTTATTGACCGTGGCCAGATGGGTGTTAGTCATTCTGTTTTGAATGGCCCGTCTTTGTTTCGTATTGCGGTGCTCTTCATTGGTGGTGAAGATGACAGAGAGGCACTTGCGTATAGCAGCCGCATGGCCAACCATCCACATATCCACCTCACAATGATTTGGCTTAGACCATTGGATCACAAGAAGTATGACGATGAAACAAGGAAGAATCTTGATAGCGAATTGATAAATCAGTTTAGGGCTAATGCAATAGGAAAGGAAAGGATCACTTACAAAGAAGAGGCTGTGAAAGATGCAGTGGGAACGACTCGGTTACTTCGTTCTTTGGAGAATTCTTGTGATTTATTAATGGTTGGTAGATATCATGAACCTGAATCTCCACTCATGTTAGGCCTTATAGATTGGAATGAATGTCCTGAGCTTGGGGTCATTGGAGACATGCTAGCTACTTCAGATTTTCTGTTTTCAGTTTTGGTGGTGCAACAACAGCCACCAGTAAATGGTTTTCTGAGAAACAATACTTCCAAGGTGGATCAAAATCCCTCTGGGCGGAAGGCATATTTCTAAGTCCAGTTAGATTAGTATAAAAAAATGCGTAAGTAGATGAAGAAAAATTCATCCATAAAACTATATGGTATGTGGTTTCAATGTTCTAAGTTTCCACATGAACATTGTAAATAGAAGGGGAAAAATGCTTTGATTAACCCAAATTCGCACTAAACTATTAATTTATTAACAGATATGTCAACTATCATAGCATTAATCAAGCTCCAATTTTTAGTACGAGGTAAGTACAGGGTGTCATGACAACAAGAATTTAATCACATTCAGCTTGACAATAGAGTTCAATACTAAAAAAAAATAAAAGGAAAAAAAAAATGTCAAATTTGTTTTTTCCTTGTTGATCCGACCATTAGACTTGTTTTTACAATCACATTATAGTTTTTCATATGATGATAAATACCTGGTAATTATAAGTGTTAGATAATTCCTAAAGAATATTTAGATGTTTCATCGATCTGTAAAGAAGTTATAATGTAATCATCAAGCAATTTTAGGGACAGATTATAAAGGCTAACCATGTTTGGACCAAATTACGCCCCCTCGTAGAGAGAGAGAGAAGGATAGAGATCAGGCCATTCTTGGACAATGGAAGTTCGTCGGAAAATAAAACGCCCAATCCGATCAGATTGACAAAATCCGAGCAATTCGAGGACAGTCATGAGATCCAATCTTAAACAATTAGGATAAAATGAGAAAGGCAGGATTCGATTTTTCATACGAAAGTGAAAATAATTTGAATGAGATCGAACAAAAACCGAATAATTGTGGAACTTAAGCTGTGAAAATTGGAATTGTAGTTAAGAAATACCTGGATTGATGGAGTCAGTGAAGGAAATCGAGGAGAGAGGCGACATTCTTGCAAGAAAGAAGCTTAATTGATTTGAAAGGTCGAGAAAATTTTGATTCCGGCAAGGTGGGAGTTCGCACCTCCGACGAAGTTCCCTTCTCTCTCATCCCGAATACATCCGCCCACGGCCCACCCAAAAAGTCGAACCAAACCCGAACCTTCCTCGTTCCCCCTACCCCCCAAAAAAAAAAATCAAAATCATACAACTACTAATTTTTCATTTTAATTTCAAGGAACATTTATTTATTTATTTGTTGAAGAAAAATCTCTCTAGGCCACTTTAAACTCGTTTATGTGAAAGTAAATTTTGAATACCTATAATTATTCATAAATCATAGGTATTAATTAAATTTAGAAGGTACTAAAAAATGTCAAACTCCCGATGTTTGAATCAACTAGTCATTTAAGTCCAACTCACACATCAAGTAACATTGTTGTTTATCAATAAGAGCTAAAAAATAATTAATATGATAAATTTCATTGTCATTCCCTTTATTTTTTGAAATATTTCCCCGTCAATTGTTGTCTATTAACATATTTAAGAGAGGATGTAATTTTATAGAATTGCCCTTATTACAACTCTTATTTTACAAGTGTGTTATTCAAATTTATCTTTATATTTTATTTTTTTTTAATTTTAGTTTTATCCCAAGCTATGACCAAATCTAATCGTGGTAAAAAAAAAAAAAAAATTCACCGAAGAAGTTCAAATACCCATTTCACGTGTTACCATTATTAACATAATTGCATCAAATTAATATATAAATTTATCAAATTGACCTTTAATTTTATTTGATTAAATTTTAATTTTATCTAATTAACACAAAATTAATATTCAATTTCATCAAATTAGCACTAAATTAGTCATATAATTTATAAAATTAACATTAAATTTTATTAAATTAACATTCACATCCATCAAATTAACATTTAATTCATTCAATTAACATTCAATTTTATCAAAATTACATTAAACTTCATCAAATGTACTACCAAATTAATTCAATTCGATCTAAGTTAAAATCAAATTAACAATCAATATAGCATTCACTTTTATCAAATCAACATTAAATTTTATCAAATTAATACAAAATATTATTGAAATTGATCTTGAATTTTATAAAATTACTATCTTATTTCAGCAAATTAACATTCTATCTCATCAAATTCGTATTCAATTTTATAAAATTAACTCTAAATTAATATTTAATAATCATATTTAACCTCCCCTAAACACACACCTCACCTTTTACAGATACCATGTTCACATTTGACAATTTGACAACAAAGAGTGCTCTTTAAGGCTCTTGGATTGATAGCGGAGGACATCTCAAAAGAACAAAAGGCCTTATATTTGTCGATAAATACTTCTTAGTATTCTTTTTTTTTTTCTCGGAAAGTAAATACTTCTTAGTAGTCTCAGTATCTAAAAATATGTTTTTATATCCAAATTCTTTTATATTACATGTTCAATTATAGTAAATCATCTAATACGTAGAGATTAGGAACTTATTTATAAATAATGAGTTACACTTGAATATAAGATATGAAATAGACTAATAAGTAAAATTGACTAAAAATATAATAAATAGAATCTCAATCCGGCCTTTGATGTTTTCGAGTGAACAATACTATACTATACTGGTCAATAATAATTATCGAAGAAGGGAGACTTAATTTGACTACATATATCGAAGCTCACTCCAATCCAGAGGGAGTCAAGCCAAATTCTCCCCCCGGAAGAGGTGACTGAATCCCGTGAACTAAGCATTACAATACTTACTGCGCAATGCTCAATGCATGCCAAGTTCATTGGGATTTTCCAACTTCCACTTGCTAGTTTATGGCGTATTGGTCGAGTTGCTTGAAATTCAATACAAAAACACAAGTTTTTTTAAGGCAGACATGCAATTGCTCTTAACACTGACATGACCCGTTAATCTGATTTGAACCCTTAACACTAATCCTAACTCCTAACATTAACATGTCTGCTAACCCAATACAAAATTATTATAGGTTGACACAAACTAGACTATATGACATGAATCGAATACAACAAAAATTGACTACTTAAAATTTGCTGAAATATGTTCTAAATAATCAATATGACACACCCTATTGATAAGCTTTGTTGAACCCTTTGCCCATAACAAGTCAGCAAGACCCTTGATCCAAAGCAATGGATGATATCACTGATACCTTATATCAAACAGCTGGTGAGCAGTGCCCATGTTAGCATAGCTCGTTGATAAACAATACAAAACCGAGATGAACATTGAAAATCTTTGATCTGCATCGCTACAAACGATGAGGGGCCACGAGGGGCCTGTGGTTCACAAAAATTAAGTATGATGGTGAGGAGTTTGAGAAGGGATGTGTTGAGTATAGTCTAACATTTACTGGGGAGGGAGAAGAGGGGTATCCATGTGAGGACTGAGGTACGCCAAATATGTTTAAAGGGGATTTGCCAGCTTGTTTGCATTTATTTTTGTGTAGCGTGGTCATGTCGCTATTTGAAAGCTTGGGATTCATGCAAATTAATAAGATAACCCAATCAATATTAAAAAAAGGTTGGGAGCTTCACATCTAGTTTTGTCTTCAATCAAACACCTAAATTACCATTTTTACAGGATTTAGATCATTGAGGGCCGACGTAATATAGTAGTAAAGTTGTTTCATTATTATTTAAATTTCGTGTTCAATTAGTCTCTCCATACCCAACAAAACCGAGAGCCTCGTACCCACGAGAGACATGCATTAAATAATTAATATCTATAATATAAAACATGACAGATTTCAATAAGTTCATTTGAAGGATTCAAGTAGACTTATCCAATGACTATTAACATCTCTCTCAAAATTATTCACATTATACTATCACGTCTTCAGGCACAAGTTACGTATAATATAAGATAAAGTAGGTTTTGATGACATAAACTTAGAGGTTACTTGTAGCATAGCTTATAAAAATCATTGGAAAATTGGCAATCATTAACCTTAGGTGAAGTTTATTGGTGTTTGCAATCACTACTATACCTGTATTCCCTGAAACTGTTGGCTAAGGAAATGCCTTATTTTTTGCTAAGCATTGACTTCATTGAATATATAAATACATAATTTTATATCGATATGGGGCAGTTGGATCATAGAGTAAGGTTTGATTTAGCTTAAGCTAAATGTCCACATCCCTAATGAACTGTACTCTTGGACATGCGATCACAACCAATCACCAATCTGATTTAAACCTCTGTTTGATGAGAGACGATAAGTCTTTTTTGCCTTTGTTGCTCAACTCGTCTCAATTGGCACTTTGCCACTAGAATAGAAACTTGATTTCACTGAGATTGTGGATGATAAATAGTGGCATACACAATAACTTTTGCACTGAAATTTGTTGGACAATTATGATATGTTTGGTAGAGTGGATAAAAAATAAGAGTGATACACTTTCTGTATTTCATGTAGGGTCCGTTCGGTTAGGAAGAAAAAGGTAATAGAAAGTAAAAATGATAGAAAGTGAAGTGAAAGAAAAAAAAATGATAAAAAAATATTTTTTCATATATGTATTTGGTTAGAATGAAAAATTTATCGAAAAATTTTAAAAAAATTTCATTATATTCCTCAGTTGTATTTGGTAAGAGGAATGAAAAATATGAATAATTGATTTTACCTCAATTCTACAACACGAAATAAACTTAGTCCCAAGAATTTACTAAAACAAGGAAAAATATATTCTTTTAGCTATCAACTTGTGTTTAATTTACTACATTCGTTGAGTACAAAATCGATTTCTCTCTCTCTTACAAGCAGACCATCGTCTTATAAAAAAGTGAAATTTCCGAATATGAAATCGGTACATGCAGCCGGAAATAAAAATGAAAAATGGAAATCAATTTACACAGTCACCCACTTACAACTGGGGAAAAAAAATTCTGAACCCCATGGTATCCCCAGCAATGTCAGATTTTGACACCGGAAAAAAAAAATGTACACTAGAGTTCCGAAATACTTTCAAGATGAGGGCGCCATACCCCAACACGTCCTCTCCGGCGATCCCGGCGTGAGGGCTTTGTTTCCGACATGATATCCGATAAGTACTTGTCACAATTTGATACCTTAGAGCTGCACTCCTTGGCCTTTTTGAAGGACTTCTTAGGGTTGTCATTTTTTTTCTTCTCCGGCAGTGAAGCCGCCGGTATCAAGAAGTATATGCTGCCTCGTTTGAGCTCTGACTCCGGTGAGAGAATTAGGATTCGCCGGACCATGCCTTGAGAGGAAGGTTTGCTTAAGACATGGTTAGGGTTGTTCTTCAAGACCTCACCAGCAGTGACCGGACGTGTTATTTCTTCTACATAGCCATTCAAGTGTACTATACGGATCAAGTCTAGGGCTCCACAGGGAAGAACACAAGCTAAACAACACCTTAGACTGTTGCCCATCCCTCTCTCTCTCTCTCTCTGAAGATTTTTTTCCTTCTCTCTGCAATGTTTGAAATAATGAGACTATGGATGGAGAGGACAATGTTATATATAGGAACAAAACTACCGTACTCATACGAAAAATTTTAGTATGTAAAACTTCACAGTGAAATTACTATTTTACCCTCGCAAATAGTTTTCCACTTTGGGTGCGGGTGCTACTTCCAAATAAAGACCATCTTTTAATATTATTTATACTGATCTAATGTATTATCATTAAAGTGATAGCGAATCTCAATAAATACCGATATTATTTGTCAATTCAATAACAATAAACGCTAAAGATAGCTCAAGTGAAAATATTGATAAGTTGTAAATTTAGACTTTTTAAATTTAAATATTGATAATTCTTTGGGATTACGTAAGAATGAATTTATCTTCTGGGACCTGCTTTTGACCTAATCGAAGAGAGAATTAATAATTTTATATGTAAACTGGATCGGATACCCCCTAACCATTAAACAAAAAAAAAAATCAATGACAATGATTTATTAAATTAGTAACTCAAATCTGTAAATTAAATACAAATAATATTATTTTGGGGATTAACCTAAACCCTGTAGCTAAACCTAGACGCATTACAATAATTGTTGTGATTCTCATAGCTGTCTTGATGACATTAAGGCTGGTAGATTTATTTTCTTTTATGTTCGTGAATTAAATTTTCTTCTAAATGATTAGTTTTGATTTATTGGTGTGAAGTACAAAACCATGGGTGGGTCTCATTTCTACGTGACCTAGTCTAGCTTCTCCTGCCCGTGGCATAGTCGATATTGGCCATTCTATTTGCTAAAGTCCAAAGAATCCAGCTGTTTTGATCCATCGTTGTCTTTATTATAATCCCAAATAAAGAAGAAATAAAATCTGCAGGACCCTTTTTTTAAAAATAATTTTCATACTCGCTAGATGCCATTTACCAAACTATGTCCTCAAGCAACATATTTTTTTCCTACTCCTCCCTTTATAGGATAGATTATAATACCGCTACCGAAAATTATAATTTTTTGATATATAAATTATAATTTATAAAAGTTTGATTGATCGTAAAACACTGGGATCGATTGTAGAATTTATAATTTTTAAAGAAAAAATTACAATTACTTAAGAAAATCTCATGATCGATCATAGTATTCATGATCGATTTATGAACTTCTCTCTACCGGTTGTAGTTTTATATTTAGAAGGTTTATAACTGTCATATTTTAGATTATAGAATACACATATATGTGCAGCTGGCTAGGGACATACAAAATTGCTACATTCATCCTTCTCTTCTCCCAACAGACTGAAAACGATTACCCTTCCACTTCTCTAGTATTTGTTTTGTTGGACACCTTAAATCGCGGGTCTTCCTCAATTTCTTATGGTAATATTACATGAATATGCAACAATTTTACTTAAAGACGGTCGATTTCTTAAAAAATTGCTTAAAGTAGACGATCATCCTTATCCACCCTAGAAACCGCCATTGAGTCTCGACTCCATATCTATATACGTGATTTAGTGATAATTATATGCAGTTTGAGTTTATGTAATAATCACGAGTCCAAAATAATTCCGTAAATTGAGGCATGAGATTCTAACAAAATTACTTAGGGAGAAGGAAAGAGGATGAAATTGAAATTGGCAACTACGTATGGGTAAAAATGTACCCTCACCACTGAGTCATTCATTCGCTTCAACAAAACACTACTAAGTTTGCTCCAACTGCTTTGTTTTTTTAATTCTCCATGGTCACATTAGAGTAACATCTTTTTACGACCCGTCTCACCTCTTCCTCTTTTCTTAATTAGTACAGCCAATCAGTAAAAACAAAGACGAAGTTTCGTTGCACGGTGAGTTCCACCGGCCACAGCTAGGGATAAGCCAAATTAAGGTGGAATATTAACTAGCTAACAATAATGGTCTGTGAGGGGGTTGCATGGGGTCTGCCAGATACGTAAAGATTCTTAATCTGAGATTGAATCTGAAAAACTATCCTTTATGGAATAACGTGTGACTGTGTCTGTGTCTGTTGTGTCTTCACACCAAAGCCTAGGTTGGTGGAGACTTTAAATAATTAATTTTATTAGTTAGATGTATAATCATTGATATTAGTTTATTTTTCAATGTCCAATTCCCACCGTACCCCATCATTTCGTACTTTGTTCCACCTCCTTCATTAAATATGCTAACTAAAATTGATTAGCTTCCTGATTTTGAGCTGAATCGAACTTTATAATTTTGTATACTTGTGTGTATGTATATACATGTGTGTGTACTTGCGTACGCACACATAACAAAATGTCGGCAGACTCGTTTGTACAACTTGTCTTCAGTGGAAGGAGAACATGGTCACCAATTATAGATTTTTTTGTGCCTTAGTATTCTAATTTAAGGTGCCGATGTAATTTTCTTAACTTCAGGGTGTTGGTATGATTTAGTAGAAAATCTCAGGAATTTTAGATATAATTATCATTTAATTATCTGCAAAGAGAATCAATGACAGGACTCACTAGAAAGACAATGGCAAGGGAAGTCCTAAAGGCTCCTACACCAGCCCTTTGGTCAACCAAGCATATTTAACGCTTCCGGACAATCTCTTGAGATCAAATTATGAGAGATTTATTTTTTATGAATATTTTAGTTTCGGTATAGATGATTTGTCTTGGACTAGAACAGGGAAAAAATATACTTCTAATCGTTAAATTAAAAATAAAAAAAAATACTTTTTAACCCAATTCTAAAAAAAATCTTTTCCTGGACCCAAAACAATGTTTTGGTGAAATGCCAAGCTCATTGTCTCTGAAGATTCTAAACATGGAAAGCCTTAACTCCTTGAAAAATCTAAATCTTAGCTGGATGGTATGCTCATGATCATTGGAGGGCCTCCCAATATGGGTCACTGCCATATGGCTCATATTTATTTGGACCCCTAAGAAGATTTTTCCTGTTTGCCCAATAGTTGGGGTTGTTTGTATAAATCTTCTTTCTTTAAAGCATGAGAAAATAACTTCTTCGATAGGCCCATTTATACCATCCGAATTGGTAGTCTAGTATGGTAAGTCATACCTGTTTATGGTTATCTCATACAAATAACACGGTTTGTTACTTGACTTTGGTGGTACTGTGATAATAGACTACCCTTCCGGGTTTATAACTATGACTCAAACCGAATATTTCACAATGGAAGGCTCTCATGGTCACGCTCAGAGACTACCTATTGTTCGCCCTTTCCCCTCTTTTCCCTGACCAAAAAAATAAATAAATAAGCTTGTTGATTTTTCGTCCAACTATTAAGCAGCTCTGATATCATTTCTTGGAATTATGTTTGTTTAAAAAAATTATGATACTGTCGTTTGGGGAATAAGAACTGAAGATTGGAAATAAAACACAAATATATATGTAGTTTGACACACCACACTTACATCTACAGGCCAAAATTATGATAGTTTCAATGTGTTTTCTATTTAATGTAAAATTCTCACACGTAATTTCCCAACAAGCCCTTTCCTTTCTTTGTTTTTTTGGGGTTTGGTGGGATGGGTGTTTCTTTTCTTCCCTTCATTTAGCCAGTCTATTTCCTAATTGTAATTCTACTACAATTTACCTTAGTTGAAGAAAAAACAAATGCAATCAGAGGAGAGAGAGAGAGAGAGAGAGATGCCTATCTGCTAAAGATTTCACTACTGGTCGAGATAGAGGACATGCAAATCTTCCCATTAACTTGAAATCTTCCAAGGAGTTTGTTTTTTGTTTTTTTTTTCAAGAATCACTGCCAAATCTTCTATTTTCAATATGAGAAAAATCTAGAGTGGGTGAGATACATATTAAGTTAACATAGTTTGGTGCATGGTTCTGCATGTCCCATATCCCAATTTTGAGCTTATAAAACCTCAAGCATATATATATATATATTATGTTTAACTTACATGTTTCCAGGCATCATCAACAAAGATTCTAAGAAATATTTGTTACAACGTAAATGTTTACCCAAAAAAATAAAGAATACTTTGATGTGAATATCAGTATCATTGATTACATCTAAGTACATATATGTCTTCTTCATGAGAAAAGTCAGTTGTTAGGTTGAGCAATACGACTTAACCTTACTACTGTAAACAATATTCGAACTTAGAAAGGCCAATTCGGGTAAAAATGATAAAATAAAGTGAAACAAAATAACAATAAAATTTTACACAATCGACTAAACAAAAAGACATAACACTGAAAAGTTATATTTTCTTACCATAGTGTAATCCATTAGATATGATTTGGGCCAGCCCGACCATTAGGCTGCTAAAGCTTGAGTTTTAGACTCCACTTAGATGAAAAACCTTAAATTTTGTTATGTATTAGTAGCTCATACCAACATTTTACATTCATAACATGTTTAGGTCTTACAAAAAAAGCCCTATAAGAATATAACTCAATTAAAAAAATTTAAACCCAATAAATAAGACCCTAATTTGAAATCTATAAATAACTTGGCTGTATTATTTATTGAGAATGATATAGGAAAAAAAATTGAAATGTTGCTACTTAATTTGTATTTCTTCATCTTGAATCGAAAATAAATATATATATTATTATTATTAAATATTAATATCACTTAATTTATAAATTTTGGTTTAGGCCCCTGATTACGCCCAAATAATAACACGGTAATTGTAGCACAGTTTTGAGACATCGATTTCACATAGAAACAAACTAAAAGAATAGTAGAGGAACAAAAGAACTAAAGAAAAATATTAAATGATTACTAGAGAATAAAGATTAATTTTAAATGTAACTTAAAGTTAAACAAAGTGACTAACAAAAAAAATATTCAAATTTGACAAATAGTAAAACTTCGGGAATCCTTTGTAGAAATTTAGTATTTTAATTATTCTTAATTCATTGAATAACTCAATTGGGAATTTAATTCCCAAAATTCCCAATTGGAAGTTATAGATTTATAAACTAAAATTAAACCAAATGTA